GATGGCAGTGTCGACAAAGGCAGAGCGCTAGCTGCATGGAGGCATCCTCCGCATGAGCCTGAACCTGGCGTCTGTGCCGGGGCTTGTCTGGATCGGCACTGAGAGGTTTATGCTCAGGAAACTCTGTAGCTGGGGCCATCACCTCCTGCGCCTCCTCTTCAACCTCCCTGCTCGGAGGTGTTAAGGTGTGCGCTGCCCTCTCGTGGACCCTGAGTGCTCCCAGTGAACCGAAGGTCCGTTGGCAGTGGCGACACAGCAGCTCCCTAGGGGCATGAGCTCGTCTATCTGCCTCAAGGCCTTGCGCCGGGGAACAATCAGGAAAATTGGAGGGGGCTTCGTCAGAGTCAGCGGAGGAGTACCGAAAGGTGAGCTGTAACACCTCCAGCCAGGGTGCGATGCCTGGTCTGTCCAGGAAGAGTTGCGGCCTGGTTTGGGTGCTCAATTGCTGTTGACATAACACATACCAGGGGTCGTCTACCTTGAGGCGCTGAAGGATCTCTGCTGAGGGAACGTGCCACAGGTGGGCTGGGGAGCGGGCTATCATACGTAGCTGCCTGTTGACTGCTTGGCGGATGAGAAGTGGGCCTTGCGATGGCAGACCTACACTATGGAGGGAGTATCTGAGTACTGAGAAAACGCAAACCTTCCATAACCGGACCTTGGTGCCTAGACCCAGTGCTCTGGACTTGAAAATGTGGTGCAGGCGCCAGAAGCTGCCCCATGCAACATCCAGTCTGTGCCGAAGGTTCAAGAGTTCAAATCCCTTATAAGCCAGCTTGGCGCCTAGATAGCGGTGCGTGGTGACAATCTTAAAGGGAAGCCTAGACTGACCAACCGGTATGACTAGATGGGGCACATCCTCAATGTACTGGCGGTGCTTGGCCAGAACAGACGGCGCACTGGTGCCCCCCAGTGCGAGCAGGATGACAGTCTTCTCCATACTGAGCTGAAGACCTGCTTTCTGTAGGGTGGCGACTAGCACGCCGATGGCTCTTATGGCCCTGGCGAAGGCTAGGGAGTCCTTGATCAACCAGCTTCCGAAGAAGTCATCTGCGAAAATGTTGATAAGGCCCTCTGGAAGAGACTGTTCTCGCAGCTCTGCCTGAAACATGCGGTACACCTTCCCTGTGATCAAAGCCCAAAGCAGTGGTGAAAGTGAGCATCCCTGTCGGACTCCCGTTCCTAGGTACACATCGGCCGAATCAGCTTGTCTGCCCACCTGCAGACATGCACGTTCATGGAGATGCATCACTAGGTTGATTTCCTGTGGCTCAAACCCAGCTTCTATCATCGAGTCTTTGAGGAAATCATGCGGCAAACTATCAAAGGCCTTTTTGATGTCCAAGCTGATCGACAAACCACCCACTAGCTTATGCGGTTGGCCTCCTTGGAACCTCTGAGGCAGAGAAGAGGAGCCACTTGCAATGAGATTCCGAACCTGGAGGAAGTGCGAGCACACGGATTCAAGTGCATCCGCTGTTGAGCGGCCCTTGAGGTACGCCCATTGTGGCACCTCCCGAAGATAGCTCTCTATTTTGGGTTCCACTTTATGGGCCAGCATGATTGCAAGAAGCTTGTTTCCTGGATGAAGTAGAGCTATAGGCCTCAGATTTTTGGGCTCCCTCACAGTAGGGACTTTAGGGATGAGGTGTAGCTGGACTTTATGCCAGTCTTCGTAGAGTGCCGAGGAGCACAGGTTCACTGCTGGCAGGAGGGTGGAGACTACCTGATCTGCTGCCAACTTCCATAAACGGGCTGGGGCAAAACCAGCTGGTAGTGCTTTACTCGCACTGATCTTTGTCAGAGCGATTGTCAAGTCTTCGGAAGAGAAGTGTACTCCAGTTATGCCAGAGGCTGGGGGCAGCTGGGAAATGTCTCGGCTATGGTACACTCCTCTCAAGAAGTCTGCTATGTGCTCCGATTCGTCCTTTCCAGCTAGGAGCAAACCCTGATCATTTCTGAGCTGTATCCTCATTGTTCTGGATTTGGGGGCTAGTCGCCTAACGACAGAGAACAGAGTGGAGGGATATGGTGAGGCCTCCGCTTCCTGGAGCAATGTTTCCACCTTCTCACGCTTGGGATCCCTACAGGCCTTGCGGAGTTGTCTCTGAATTCTGGATAGTTTGGCAGCTAAAAGCCAGCCCCGTATAACAGAGTGAGTTCCGGACGGTAGGGACCTCTGTCGACGTAGTGCCCAAAGTTGTCGCACCAGTCCAACCTCTCTGCGCGGAGATTCACGCGGAGGCGGAGACGAGGGATTCTCTTTGGGGCTGACATCCTTCCAGGCTTGCAGAATCACTCGGTTGAGCACCCATGCAGGGTCGCCTTGTATGGCAGCTGTTGGGGGCATGATCTGGCTCATTCTGGTTTGAAATTGCGCCGCAAGATCTGGCTGACCTTGTAGGTGCTGCATAACCTCCTTGGCCCCTACGGAGGATTGCCCGGCACGGCTCTGCCTGGGCGGCTGAGGCTTCGGCAGGGAGGCAAGGATCGGAAAGTGTCGCATGCCCTTGTCCGGCACGAATGGAGCCCGTATCGTGCGAGCTCCTTTGGCGAGGGGGTCACCATGATGGGCTCTGCACAGAATAAAGTCGATTTGGGTACGATGCTGACCCCCTGCATGATCAAATTGGTATGTGTGGCTGTAGCTTCTCCGACCCCATGTGTTCAAGGCCACTAAGTTGTGGCTCACAATGAGCTGCTGAAGCCTGTGTTGGTCCTTTTGTCTAACAGCCCCTGTGACAGAAGCTAGTCCGGTGCCTACATGAGGGGCCTGTTCCTGGCAGGGGGTGTTGAAGTCACCAGCCAGCACCAGCTGGCAGCGCCACGGGGTTCCTCGCACCAATTCGTTCAGACGGGTCCAGAAGACTTCTCGTTCTGCCTCGCATTCTACGGCTCCTTTCACTTCCGACCACACATGTTGGTATGTGCCTATGATGCAGATTGCCGGGGAGGTTTCCAGCCGCACCAAGATAAGGCGCCCCGGGATAGGAGCAGTGATTCTGATGGACGACGAGGAAACCAGGCTCTTATGTATCATAACCAGGATACCAGCCTTCCTATTGCTGAGCCCTGTATGGATCATATGATAGTGGGAAGTCATCCACTCCGAGTCAAAGGACCAATGAGTCTCAGTGAGGATGCAAGCATGAATGGTGGTTCCTGCTTGGTGACACGCATCCAGCCATGTCTCTATTTCCATCATGCGAGTGGTGCTCAGTCCTCCGGTATTCCACGTAAGGATGCGCCACCTGTCAGAGTGCTGTTGCAGCGGGCCGGGCCTTCTTATGGTTTTGGGTGACCGCGGGGGGTGGCTACTGGGCTCTGACAGCTTATCTGCGCCTAGGGTCTGAAGGGTGTGTGGGCGGCCACGGTAAGTGGTAACTCCATGCTGTTGGGCTCGCCTGAGTGCCCTGTGGAAGGATCGTTTGCCAGTTTTGGTAAGCTTATCATATGTAGTCGGGCGGATGGGGTTGGAATGCCTTTGTTGTGTGGCATCTCCGCGAGGCTTTGCTTGTGTTGTGAAGCTACGGATGCTGTTAGCAAGGTAAGCTTCAGGGGGACTCGCGACTCCTCCCCCTACCCTCACGTCTGTGGCGGTGCTGCAGGTTGTTAGGAAACTTTGTATGATCATGGTACTGAGCAACCAACCACCTCGGGACTTGGGACCCGAGCGGCTCTGCACTTTGTGTCCTGTCGGCAGGTATGAGGACTCTGTTTGTTTGGAGGCATCCTCCTGTACTGCTGCTGATCGCGGCTCCTCTGAGATGATAAGACTGTTTTGCGGGGTACAAGCCCGGCTGAAATATGACCAGTCTAACTGTGATGCCGTCCATAGCAGGCGCCTGCTGGCGTCCCGGACTAGCACTGGGCGCCTTCTAAAGAATCTAGGCCCCCAGCAGCAGGAGAGAGGTCTGCTGCCCATCATCATTGCAGCAGCGGGCCGGGCGTCCGATTGCGGTACCTGGCTCTGACTGGGCTTAGGGTCCACGGGACTTTGATGGCAGACGGTTGTTGGCATCCTCAAAGGCACCAGACATGCAGGCATGCTATCCAACCACTCTAACCTCTCTATGCGTGCGAAGACGTGTGGATAATCCACAGTCGTCGGAGGCAGTTTTTCCTCGGATCCCGGGCATTGGCAGTCCGCATGCTTTATGCGAAAACATCGAGGGCAGCGGTAGCCCGCTCGCACGAGCATTTTGGCACAAGCCCTGCTTCGCTTTAGTGCCGGTGCTGTTGCCGACGAAGAGGATGGCAGCTCATCTCTGTGCCCTGCTGCACCACATGAGGAAGACCCGGGGTCTCCCAGCCAACCAAAATGTGAGTCCCTATCTGAAGACAGGGCTGTGGCTGGCTCTGGTGCTGTATGCAGAGCCGGTGGGTCCTCTGGAGTGCTCTCCTCCGATCTAGAGCGGAAGTCTTCCTCTCTGCCTTCAATCTGCAGGCTAACGTTCTCTTGCTCCAGAAGATGCGGGGCCTTACTTGGCCTCGGCACCAGGCTCCCAGGTCTCTGACGCGGTGTAGAAGACCCTCGCGTTCGAAAGGACACATCCGGGCGATCATTGTCTGAGAGCGCCGTCATCCTCCTCTGTTGTGGGGGGCTCCGCAATGGGTTGGGCATGCTGCTGCGAAGTGCCTGGAGGACAACCTCCGGGTACTCACGACTTTGCGGTACACGACCAAGTAGTTGGCCCACAGGCGTGCCTGGTACCGTCTGCCTTGGAGGAGCAACGGGAGAGGGAGACCAGAGCCTCTCGTCATCTGTGACATCCGGTGGGGGATCCGCAACGGGGCTGCACATAATATCACTCCCCAGTGCACTTACATCTTCCTCGTTATGGTCCGGCGTGGTAGCTGGTGCCCGCTCTTGGTCCAAGTCTGGTGTTGGTGCTAACCAGGCCTCATCGTCAGAGTGGTGTCGAAGGTCTGCATCTGGGGAGTTTAAGATTCCTTCTGAGTCCGACGAACTGGCCATGTGGTGAACCTTCAGACTACAGGCTTGTGGTGCAGTGGGAATGGTCCTGCCCGGATTGTTGAGTGGCGGTGGTGGCTGTGCAAGGCTATGAGAGGCTTCGCTGTTGTTCAAGTGACAGTGGTTGATTGCATCCTTTGCCTGGCCTGGCTGAATGAGCTGTCTGGGAACAGGAAGCACGGCGGCATGGACAAACTGATGACTCTGCCAAATGAAAACATCTGAACTGCCCAAGCGCTCTGACAGGGAGGAGGGAAGGCAACCCGAGCACCACAACCTGCGGCCTACCATGTTGACACTGCTCATGGCATACAAACCCTCAGCGGGGAGGCGCACTGTAGCAGGCTCCGGAGGGGCACCTCCGCTGCAGCGAGGGCGGCAGGTCCTGCTCTGATCCAGCTTTGTTACTGAGCCACACTGACTAGGGTGCCGTGGATACAAGGTCAGATCGGGACGGAGTTTGGGCCTTAAGACTGTGTATAGGAGGTTGCCCCTAGGCTGAAGTAGTGGGATCTCATTGCCTGAACAAGGGGGCCTTTCTGGCTGACAACTACGCCGACCCAAGACCCTGACCCCCATGGAACCCATGTACTCCAGCTCGCTTCCACTGGGATCATACTCCTCATACACAGAGGCTTGACGCCTCTCCGGAGGACTGACCTCCTCTACCGGCGCGACGGCTGTTGCGCCGCTGCCTTCTGACACTGGCCCTGGGACTCCGCTGCGTGAAGGATCCACCAGCTTCCAGGACTTGGAACTGGAGCGCTCACGACGCTTCTTTGCCTTCTTGTCTTTCTTCTTGTCCTTTTTGGTCTTGGCTTTGTCCTTCTCAGCCTTGTGCTTCTTGGTCTTCTTGTGATCCGTCCTGGTGTGAACTGCTTCTGTGTCTCCAGCAGGCCTGTGCGTCTGAGTTTGCTGCGGCGCGAAAGGACTCTCAGCAGGATCTACCACCCTGGGGGTCGGCGCAGAAGGCATGGTTCGGGAGCCACGCGGCGGGGA